ACCAAAAAGTGTGTCATCCATAGCACATCGAAAGAAAAAAGTTGAAGATACATCAACACCAGCTTACCGACAAAAACCAAAAACAATAATCAAAGCTCAAACTTCAGAAAACCCAACTATAAACACGAAAAATAAGAACATTTGTAAAAACTCTCTGTTAGATCGGTGGTTTAATAATCAATATAGCGACGATTCACTTGATGAATCGAAAGATAATTTATTTTCAAAATTTCAACGAAAATTTCAGCAAGGAACAAAAAAAGAACATGAATTACGAGAAGATTATGAATCTCGAATTCGAAGTAAAGCGCTTGATGATGACGGTAGTGATAGTTCTATTAGAGGGGACGAATTAATTAAAAGTGTAAAAGGTAAAAATGGAGAAAGACGTAACACAAAATCTAAAGGGAAGCAACGCGCGGATTCTATACCAGAAAATTCTACTACAGCTGGTTTTGCCATAAGATATCCAGTTCGCACAACAAGAAGTAGAAGATGTAGTGATTATGTAACTACCGATCAAGAATTTGCAGAAATATTACAAAAACTTGGTGCAGAAGACCAAAAACAGGGACAAGAACAACAACGGGGAGAATCATCACGTGCCCGTATCCCTCCACTACAAATTGATGTTAGTGGACAAAAAGCAAGTAATTTTGTGGACAATTCAGGTCGTGTATTCGATCCGGTAGAATTTTACGGACACAATACCCCGTTAGGTTCAAATTGGACGGAAGACGAGCAAAACCAATTTGAAGAGTTGTTTAAGATGACGCCAAAAGATTTTAATAAAATAGCAGATAAAATGGCACATAAAACAGCCGGCGATTGCGCCATATTTTATAAGCATCTAAAAACTGCCAGAACTAAATCTGGAGATGTAGACGAAAAAAAGAGAGAAATTTATAATCGTCTTCATGATATGAAAGTAAAGCCTAAGAAGAGAGGACAAAAACGAGCGGTGAGAGGACGGAATCGTTCAAATTTTTCGAGTAATCAAGTTCCGTCACCAACACGTGCCATAGATACAATCGAACAATCTATTGTTGGAGACATGGAATCGGCCGAGAAGCTGGATGTTTCATTACAATTACAAAGACCTAAGTTAGAAGGTTCACCATCGGAAATTACAAAAGAAACATCAATTAATCATATTCTTGACCAAGAAGTTGGACAAGCAGCACTAGCACTAACGTTAATGTCAAGACAATTTCCTATAGAAAGTACAGAAAAATCGTCCGAACAAGCGTTACCAAAGGCTAAAACCTTGACATTTAATAAAACTGAAGGACATGCAGCACAAAGTTATAATGACTTTCGTTCAAGGCACATTCAAACAGATGGATGTCAATCAACACTTTCAATAGGATCATTATTAAACCCATCAGATGAAATGGATCCGTCCTCGTTTATGAGCTGGTTCGATAGCCTGGAAGATGAAGAACAAAGTCTCGGAAATAAATAAGAAATTTTTATATTTATTGTAAAATGGTGTATTTAAATAATTTAAGTAATTACTTTTTTATAAAAATTAGTATATATTTATATAATCAAAAGTTAACAGAATTGTATATATCACAGATTCTTGATATTTTATTTATGTTCAAAATTTAAGGCGATCATTAAACTTCAAAAAGAAATTGAATTGCCAGTTAAATATTAGGCTATTTATTAGTGATTAACTTTACTAATGAATCTACTGATTTTGTTGTTACCGTGCCAAAAAAATATAAGATACCCGTGGCCAATGTTGTCATGGGACAGTGACACAGTCAACGGACTAGAGCTCTTACCCGGGTCAGGAAATACCGACTCGGGTGGGCCAGGATTTTGACCCGGGTTATAACCAGGGTCAAACGAAAACTCTTAATTAGAGCTATTAGCATAAAGAGTAGCTTGTGCTCCAAATATCTAAACTGGATTTGGATTGAAAAATTTCTCTAGGGACGAAAAAGTAGCACAGAATTCTAAAATATCACAGCATTTTGATTATAAATTTATGTTAGAGCGGGAAATCCAAAAAGATTGTTAATAATAGGAGGGTGAAACCCGCGTTGTAAATTAGTAAAGGCAGTTTTATCCTAGCCAGGGGTTTAGATTCTTATCCTAGACTGCAATTGATCACTATTTTATGAGGTTTAGGGTAAGGAATCTAAACCCTTGGTCTATTTTAAGGACGCCTATTAGTAAAATCCGCTACGTAGATTACATTAGGGTAAAATCCGCGTTTAGCTATGTTTTTTATTATACACGTCACTCCGGTTATACCGACATCTGAATATAACGACATCATAGTAAAATCTTTCTATATCGACTTTTTTTAAAAAAAATTTAATGTGGCAGCTTATGCTGAGATTAACTTACGCTGGGAATTTAAATCTAATTTATAATTTAAAAATATTCATTACAATAATTTTCACAGATTAAAACAAAATCTGATCAAAATGAAATTTTTTTGTTTTTTAAAATTTTTTGGG